CGAATAATTTCTAAAATCTGATAAAAAACATTTGTTCAAATTGAAAAATGACGGCTCAGCATTATCATTTAAAAAACCCAGATTAATCATTATTTGTTCGCATGATCGAAATGACTCATCGTGTTTTTTGAGTATTCAAAGTGTCTATTTAGTATTAAGATGTGATAAACCGTGATTTTTTTTTCCTTTCGGAAATAATAAATTTTTATTTTCCTTTTTTTTGGGGAGGGGGGAGGGGGAGGGGGCACGGTTTATAGCTTATATATAAATGTATTACACTGCACTTAACTTTTCCCTGCGTTCCTTAATTATAAGGTTTGCGAGCGAGGGAAGCAATTGAGAAAATGAACCCGTGTTACGGACAATATTTAGGGCCAGCAGCGGCTCCATCACCGGCAATACGCAAGACCGAAAATATCGGTTTGACGGGTCGTCTGCTATGCGGCATGACTGGGCTGAAGCTATTATGCAGGGTGGAATGGTGGAAGTGTTATTTATTCTCTTTCGTGGTAAGAACTAATTGAATTCTATAACCAAAAGGATGGTTATTTAAAGTTTTAAATGAAATCATACTTAAATGTTTTGTTATGATTCTCTTAACATACCTTGCATTCGGGAGTGCCATATTAAGCATAAAATAATACGAGATTAATCAGGCGACCTTGAGCTTTTTCTGTTGCACCGTGTCATATAACGACTGAAAGATACGAATTAATTCTAAGGGGGAAAAGGGGATTTAGAGTTTTAAATGGCATACTATGTCCGTTATTCCTTTGAAATTAGACGAAGAAAAAGAAACGAAATGAAAAAGTGAGCACAAAAGAAAGACCAATTCGTAATATGTCATTCGTAAAGTGACTTTTAGGCTTTTATTTTTGTTTAAATGAAGAAAAAAAAGAACCATGTGAGGAACGCTAGAGAATTACTTAAGAAGTACATCTTGACCCTAGAATCCCAAACGAAATCCCATGTTTACACAAATCCTGGAAAAAACGTGATTTTAATGATAATCATGCCGTACTTGAATAACGCATATCACATTTTTAAATTCCATGTCACTTTGTCCTTTCAAAAGACTATGGATATAATTAATTTTTAGCATTAGTAAGAGCACCCAAATCCTACCACGGACCCACTTACTACACCAAGCATGGCGAATGGAGATTAATGTTCTGCAAAAGGACAAATTGCTGTCTTGGTACAAACCCTTTGGAGGATGAAGACAACAGTTAGAAAGGGGTGGGGGCATTTTTTGCCCTTCATCCCTGTCTTAAATGAGGCGTCCTTTCCATCATGACCATGATTTCGCAAAGCCTTCTTTCCGGGCTTAGATATATATGTTAAAGATAAAGGTGAGTTCTGGTCATCCGATTGCATTGTGAAAGAAAAGGTGTTGAATGGATCAGAAAAAGTTGATCATGTAGCATTGGTGTGTACTGCAAAGTTCTGGAGTCATCAAAATCATAACAAATTTGGCCCAGTCTTGAGCCAAGACAAGCACTGTACACAGAAAGATGTATATGGGACTACACAAATGGTGTCGGGGCTACTAACCTTGATTTCCTAATCTTTCTATGCTCGTTACTCAGCCAGTGTACCTTTTCTACCAAATTTGTTTGGCGAATGACATGTATTTGTAATCTTGAACATTCAGTGTAATTTTCGTTTGATTCTGTGAGAATTATTATTATAATTTTTTTATTAAAGCAGAACTCACCTTTATCTTTAATACGATGGTTTATTTGTAGGTTGGCCCATGTATCCGGTTATGTTGGGCCAAGAAGGAAATAGTCTTTTTTGTGTGTGTCGATCAACTGGTATAAAAATCATTGATATTGTGCGACTTTTTAAAGTAGAGTTTTATGAGTAAAGACAAACGAATTGCTTTTCATTAGCCATATAAATAAAAGAGAACTCTATTTTGCCATTTATAACAACGTACAACTGTAGTCAATAAAAGCATGTCAGTTGCTGAGCGATCTCTCGCCTTTTCAGGGTTGGTATAGAGTAAGAGAATTACTTACACCTCTGTTCCGAACATCCCTGTATATCTGCCCATTGGCAACAATGACAAGCAAAGCTGACAGGCCGTCAGCAAAGGCGATGTTGCAGGTGAAGATATTCTGTTGCTTCCTGAGCTTCTTGCGTCCAATGATGATGCCAACTGTGAGAACGTTCAAGACGAAAGCTAGACTCTGTAAGACGAGTTCAGCGATGTAGTCGTGGATTTCAGCCATCACGAGTAATTCAGCTTGAATACGGTGGCTCTGGTGGTAGGGTTAGAGGTGCACAGAATGATTTTTTGCCAAATTTGCTGGAGATAGCTGCTTTTATCGAAGTATTTCGAATTCGACACATCCGCAGGGCTGCGATGAAAATCTGAATGCTGCTTTGAAGAAGAAAAAAAAAAAAAAACATGCCCCTCCCACCCAAACCACAAATGACAAACTGGCAATTTCTGCGTCAGTCATTCACAGTGATGCGAAAAAGATGAAGTTAAACTGGTCTAGTTTCCTGTTCGAATGTCCTTGTGGGATTGTATATCCTTCCTGATACTAAATGGTAGAAAATAACAATAGATACCTTACCTTACCATAATTATTTTATTTTCTTTAAATTTTTTCAGATGTCAGAAACCTTCATATTGGTATTGATAACACACACAATACCCACTTTTTTCTGGTCCGTTCTAACTTGTCCTTATTTTCTTTAACCGATTGTTTACCTGAACGGGTGGCTTCTCTATTAAGCCTATGGCATTTATTGAATTCAGTCTTCAACGGGTTAATTGCCTTTTCTGAATTTGCGGAGTTGACAAAACCAGGGCAAAAACATTGATTAGAAATCTCCCTTATTCTGAAAAGTCGGAGCATTTTCATTTTCAATGGCTGACTTAATCCTTCAAAATATATTGTTTTTTTCAATTGATAAATGTTAAAATGCCAGAGGTGAAAAGCCATACATGAAATTTTAGTGAAACATTTAGAAGGTAAAGTACAAAAACAGACATACTAAAGCTTGTTGTCTTGCAGTCATCGGAGTAAAAAAACAAGAATGAACAGAAAACCCTAAAAAGTGTAGACGAGTGCAAGACGAAAAGCTGTAGCATATCTGTATTACACTGTCGCTCATTAAGGTGGAATATTTTTGTTTTACCCCAATTTATGGAATTATTTTAAAAATAATTTTAAAATAATAGATCTAGATAAAAGTATACATTCTCAGATTTTATTGAATAATAAAGTGCAAATGTGTGTTTTGCGTGACTGCTAAAGCATGTGTATGCTTCTATGCTTATCAAATAGGGGACCTACGCTCTTAAGTCATAAATGACAGTAATGAGGATTAATGCCCCACAAAAGGGCACTAATATAGCACATCGACACGGTTTTGATCCTCGGGCCTCACAGTTACATGGCCATTGCTTTGTCACTGAACCATGAATGTACGCAGCGGGGGCTAGGGTAGGGGGCAGTTTCCATAAATAAAAAAACACAGGAAATGCAATAATTTTACAATAATTTATTGCATTTTACCCCGGTTCCCAACATAAAAAAAAATCCTCTCTGTGCCCATGCCTTGAGCCATAATGCCAATTTAAGACCTCCCTTATCGTAATCTAAAAGCATAGTACTCCGTTTGATTTTATCTTTTCCATTCCATAAAAAATCAAATATTAACACTTCAATTTCATGGAATGCCCACGGCGGTACAGGTGTGAGTGATGATACATATACTAATTTTGATAGAACAAAAGTCTTAATTAGTTGAATTTTCCCCATCAAAGTCAAATCTCTTTGTTTACACCACATAAGCAGCTTTTTAATTTTACTTAAGATTTCTTTGTAATTAATTTTTGTCTGGCTTTCCATGTCTAACATAAACTGTATACCTAATATCTTTACAATGTTTACTATCTTACCAAATGGAACTATTACATCTTTATCCGCGTTAGGACCCAATAATAATACAAAGGTTTTGTCTCTATTCATCTTCAATCCAGACATATCTGCAAAACTAGTAAACAATGAGTTTAGTCTATTAAAAGATTCAATATCATGAACAAACAACGACATGTCATCTGCATAAAGAATTTGTTTAACCTGAATATCATCAAAGGGAAGCCCATGAATAGCCGAGTCGCTGCGGATTGCGCGAGCAAGAATCTCAATGCAAATTAAAAATAAATAGGCAGACAAAGGATCACCTTGTCTTACACCTTTCTGAATAGAAAAATATCCAGTTGATACGTGTCCATTGAACACACAAGTTTGAGCCTTATTATAAATTATTTTCACCCATTTACAAAATATCGGTCCAAAACCAAAGGCTACTAAGACCTTTTGTAAAAACATGTGTAAAACCGAGTCAAACGCTTTTTCAAAATCTATCGCTAACAAATAAGCAGGTATTTTATTTTGATTTGTATGACAGATCATGTCGTCAATTAACCGAATAGCTTCACCTATATTTCTGCCCTTTAGATATCCCACCTGATCAATCCAAATAACTTCGATGATTCATCATGTGCATTTTTATCTCTCTCTCTCTATCTATCTTCTCTTTTCTATCTTACCCCCTCTTTCTCTGTATCTTTCTCTCCCTCTCTCTCTCCCTCTCTATCTCTCTCTGTTTCTCTCTCTCTCTCCCTCTCCCTCTCTATCTCTCTCTCTCTCTCTCCGACAGCTCAAATTGATTATCGATTGGACCTTACGCGGCCGAGATCTAAAACTTGCTCTCAAAAAGCCAAGTCAAAACAGGGCAAATAACCAAATCACTCGATCAAAGTCTAGGATTGGTCGTATTTGCATGCCTTTGCACACGTTGTTGGTCAATCCTTTTATTTGCACATTTTCTAGCAAATAAATAGACAGCACTTTATCTCATATTAATATGATAGATGTTGGTTTGAACATTGGCCTGCCGATTACGTGATATCTATTTTTATTCCGACTTGAGAGGTAAATTCTTCCCGCACTTTAGCACTTTAGCTCATAGATGTTGGTTTGAAGATTAGCATACTGTATACGTGATAGTCATTTTGAAATTTCAATTCGCTAGCCGACGCGGCTAAGTTCTGCACTTGTTAATTCCTTTCTTCCATGCAAAAGGTAAGCTTTATTGATGGTGGGTTTTTAAAAAATATCAGTAACAATTTGAGTCGAAGTAAGATACGTGTCTGCTAATTTTTTTATTCATTTGGCAATCATTTTATGGTGGAGTGGAGTCATACTCATTTGCAAAGGTTTAGGACCACCCATATAATACACACTAACTTAAAAATGTTCAAACAAACAAAAGTAATAATACATAGCAACCTATTCATTGATATAAAGACAAGAGATGGTGCTTACACTAACAGCCTTGATCTTTCGACGAGAGATAGAGAGATCCTTCAGAACGATTCTCAGAATGATAGGGTCATATCAGTACCGTGTAGGAGTTTATTCCTTAAATGCATTTAAAGCAGCTGGGCTAAAGCCAATGTGATATTATTTTGTATGTGCATTGAGCGATTCCTGGAATGAATAGGTGCGGAATATAGTAGATTTCATTATTAGTAGTAGTAATAACAGTAGTATTATTTATATCATCATCACTAATATAATTATTATAATAACTACTACTACTAGTAGTAGTAGTAGTAGTAGGCCTACTGTTGTTATCATTCGTACTGCTGTTTTTGTTTTATTGTAGTTGTTGTTCAACACTGTATTATTATTATTGTTATTATATCAATTCTGTAGATGGCTAGGAACGAGAACGTTCCGCAAATCGGATCTGAGCACGAGTACAGAGGTATAAGATATCCCAACGTCGTCCTGGATTCCAGTATCGACCGGATAAAAACATTTCAAGTGCGAGAAGATGACATCTGGGTTGTGACATATCCTAAATCAGGTGAGGGTTGGGAGGTATAATTGATTATTGGAAATAAAGACAGGAGGGCTCGTAATATGCAATTGAGTTAACTTTCTTTTTGTTAGTGAACATGCCTTCGTATACTTAATTCTCTTCTCAGTTTTTCTTCCATTTTCTATTTTTTCTTTGCTATCAACGTTCTGTTATACAATATGCAATTTTTATAAAAAATATCTATAATGTTCTCTCAGTAACTGTGTTAGCTTATTATGGGCGTTCCCAACTCAAGCTATGCTTTTCGGGTTTTCGTCCCCTTCTGTTATCTGAATTATGTACTGTATACTCTATGTTGAAATCGTTGTTACATATATTATATATTAATATTTATATATAAATTGTGTTTCATATTGTACTGTTGAGAGGGAAATAAATGTTAATAAATAAATACAAATACAAAGCCTCTAGCACACGAGGCGTATTGTCACTGACGTATGACTGCGCCAGCGGATGGCACAGTGTCTGACGCGCTTTCAGAGTACTTTCGTACACCAAAATGTAATTAAACGGTTCAAACATTGCGTCGAGTAACTGGTGTACTTACTCAAGTTTCTTCAGTGGCTCGAGTCATCACCATCTTCATCATCTGGTCTGGGCCTATAGCTTAGGATGTGTTGATGCTGAGTGGTAGATTCTTTACATCTTCGATGTTGACGTGAATAGAGGCATTTCTGGATACGGGCTACGTAGTAGGTCAGGACAGGACGAAGAATCCTTTTCCTCATGTAAAATGGACTTCCACCTTTTCTAGACCCTCAGAGATGAGGTGATATCCACTTTTAGCGTTTAGATGCCGACATTATCTGTCCGCCTGGATTTGCTTTATCGCCAAAGGGGCCTTCGGCTTATCTCCTAATATCAAAGACAGATGGTGTCTAATAACATCTCATAACATTACCAATGAATATCATCGCTTTATCATCAAAATGCAAATGTATTATATATCGTTCGTTCGATTCAATTTATTGGCAGAAACACACAAAATAATATAATGTTGTGGGCCGATATGGTTATCATGTTCTTCTCCCAATTACAGGAACCCACTGGATGATGGAGATCGTTGGTCTTATCCTTAGCGATGGGGATCCAGATCAAATCAATCGATCCCTCTACTCATCCCCCGCAGAAATGATATGTACGGATCAAGATTTTCCCACTTCTAAGGAGGAAGAAAAGTTACATCCTCTAGACATGTCTCCATTCTTGGATGTCATTGAAAAAGCGCCCTCTCCCAGGGTCATTGTGAGTCACCTGAACTTTGACCTTCTGCCTCAAGACCTACTGAAGGCCAAGGTTCGTTCTGTTTTGGTACTTGTCCTTTTTACTGTGTACGCATGCTTAGAATCGGGTCCGTGGAGTGGTTTGATCAGGCCTTGGCTTGCAAAAGGCTGGGGGAGTTTTGTTTTGCATGTATTATGTTGTTCAGCAGAATGATGGTCAGGACTCCTTGCACCAAAGATTCTGGTAAGATCAAAAAAGGGTTGTAGCGTCACGTGGCTTTTGCCAACTAGTCGCTTTGGGAATATTCAGGCTTTAACTGCAAAATACATGTTTGTATCAGTGCAATTTTTGTTATTAGACCATGGACTCTTCTACAGATGGACCTATAATGAGAGTCTTTCTTTGATCACATCATGACCACCGCCACCTGATAATATGTGTGTTGTTGAGGACATTGATTTCACGCGAAAATGTTGATTATGTAATCACGCATGTTCACAGACAAATGAACCTTTTACATTTCTTCAGATTCTTTTCGCCGGGCCAGGGCCCAGAGTGTAGTTTCAGGGGAAATATCGTGACGAGACCAGTTAGAGGAGCAGTGAACCCCAAATTATGACAATTTGTATGATATTAGATTGATTATCAAAGAAGTGGACACTGGTGGACATACATCTGGACTTGCCAAATTTTGAAAAACACATATTCTTTACTGTCCTATTACCTTCTACTCCTTGGAAATGGATAGGATAAGTTTTAAAATCATTGTGTTACAACCAAATTTACAGGTTTCTCTTGTAAACTACTTCTAATTTCCTATCGAAAACTTCATATACGTCAGTATTCATAATTTATGTGCGCCTCAACTGCACATGCATTTTCGTGATTTTAAGCGATTCAGTTTATTTTGCGTAGGCATTTTGTAGATTCTTCGAGGCACAGTTTGGTTTTTGTTTTGCCTGTTTGGCGGCGGTCTTGATGAGACCAAAGCTTCGAAGCATGTTTGAAATGTCATTATGATACTTTTGACAGAGTCAGGTGCATGAATGTATTATGGTACCGATCAGTGTCCATTTGTAGTAAGTCCATGATTAGACTAAGTTTTAGATGAGTTCAGGATTAGTCCTAAGAGCCAAGCAAATCGGAAATTAAAAAATAAATTCTTATAAATGCAAAAATTACCTGTCCATTTTCATACTCTCTAAGTATATGATTATTATCTTTTATCTCAAATTATCATATTTGTAGGTTGTTTACGTTGCCCGCAACCCCAAAGATGTCATTTTGTCGTATTTCAACTTCATAGGGAAGAACCCCGCTCTACCTTTAACCTTGGACAAGGCAATCAAGAACTTGGTGTCTGGCGGTAATCATTGTTATTGTTCTATAAGGCCCGTGGTACACGAGGCACTGACATAGGACTGCATCAGCGAATGAAACTTTTTTTTTTGACGCACCACGATATCGTACAGGTGCAATGGGCATTCCAACTCATAAAAGGGAGGGCGACGCGGCTAGGGGAATATATGGATGTTAGGTGGAGAATCACCCGGGTTGGGGTATATGTTAATTAGTACGATTACTTATTGAAGTGTAATAAATGTTTCTTTAAGATCTATCTACTGATGCCCAGACTACAGGATATAAGCCCATCAGAAGGTGTAAAATTTATATTAATACTAAAATGGTGGATAATGGATGGGGAAACTGTAACTTTCTTAACCAATTGGTATTATCCTTATTGGTATCCTCCTACGATGTAATCCACGACAATAAATGAATTTACCGCATCAACTGAATTTCTGTTAAATGTTTGTTCATGTCTCGTTTTGTTTGCTTGTTTATTTTCTCTTCTAGAAATGCACTGGGGTCCTTGGCCAGAACATGTACGCCGATTCTGGGATCATAGAGACCATGATAATGTAAATTTTGTTTTCTACGAGGATCTGAAGAAGGTATGGTTCATTCAAAATTTCAAGACCTAATGACAGTTTAAGAATAAATAAGTAGTTTTGTATTAATCATGATCATAAAAACACAACAAAAACACTTTTGTGCATAGGTCATATGAGATTTGATAGTCTGTCTCTAACCCCCCCTCTCTCTCTCTCTCTCTCTTTCTATGTTACCATTCATGCACTCATTTCCCATGTAAATTTCCCGTCGCAAAACTATTGAAGTGTTGTTATCTATCATCTTAATTATTACATATACAGTGCGAGTCAAAAAAAGGTTTACACCTAGAAAATTGCTAATAAGTTTTAAAATCATCTATGAACAGTAAATAAGTATACATTTTATGAAAGAGTGTTTTATCCAGAATCATTTAGTATCATTTTGTATGTATTTACGCTTGGAAGAACAGGAGGCATTGTTTGCGCCAAATTTGCTTAATAAGCAAATTTGTGATGTTTGAATAACCAATTGGGATTTGGGTATTAATTCGGTCTTTGCAGATCATGATTAAGATGATTGACAGCATTTGTATGGCGCAATATATCTGTTTCAAAAAACATTCAAAGGCGCGAGCTCCTCCAATAAATTTAGCATTTAAATGTCTGAAGGAAGATGTGAGTTTTGAGTGAAGCTTTGAAGTGGTCAAAATTAATCATGCCACATATATATCAAATATCGAATATCAACCAACCTTTGTGGGCGTGTGGGTGTGTGACTTTGCTTCTGCAAAAGTCATATGCAACGCATTTCATTTGATAAATTTAATTCATTCTCTCACTTCGCTAATCCCAACATCACCTTGGCGCAAGTCGGTTTTTGCGCTCTCGCAAACAATGCCTCCTGTTCATCCAAGCGTGAACACATACCACACAAAAATGACACCAAATAATTTGGAATAAAACACTCTTTCATAAGATGTATAATAGTTTACTGTTCATAGATGATCTTTTTCTTCATAATTAGCAATTTGCTAGGTGTACACTTTGTTTTAACTTACACGGTAGAGGATATGCAGTACCTCTATTTAGTCTTGTGGTAAGGTTTTGTCCGAAAACATTCGTCTTTCAATCCTCCTGGTTGTACACAAGCAAATTGATAAGTGCTCTCATTATATCAATTGGAAGTCATATCAAATAAATTGACCACTATACCACTGTTCTCCTCTTCAGACCAGAGACATAGGGTCAGGGAGCACAATCTTGACCAATAACTATGTTGCCGAGCTGTTTATCCATACGATCGTTGGTATATTACGTTTGCCTTAACATAATACGAACTTATGAATAGACAAAAAACTAGGTTAGTAATGATTGAAAGCTCAGTTTTTATATAACGCAGGAATCGTTTTTTACCTCAGGAACCGGCAAAGTACATTCAGAAAATCGCATCTGGTATCGGTCGCCCTCTATTGGAGGACGTCCTACGTCGGGTTGTTAAATTCAGCCATATTGACGCACAGAAAGAAACCTTCAAGAAAATGGCGGAAAGCGGGAAAGAAAATCTTGTGAAAGGAGCCGGCGAGTACTCTTTCATTAACAAAGGTAAATATATTGTTTTAGGCCTAATGAAGACACTGTGGTTATCTCTGTTTTAATACAATCCAAATAATTCAACCACGCACGCACACAAACGATCACGAATTTACGCACACACACGCACATGAATTTACGCACAATTTTTTTTTTTTTTAATTTTTTTTTTTAACAATTTTGTTTTATTTCTCCAGATGTGTAATACAACCCATGACATACAATTGAATAAAATAAACGTGTTCAATATTGATGCTTTTACATAAACATAATTAAACACAAACTTATTTGCAGTATAATATAACTTAACAACAAAGTAAACGTATAAGTACCTAAACATAATATGTCAATTGTAAATGTTATTTACTTATATATTACAAAAAAAAAAACAAATCTGGAGATAATTTTACTGAAACAATCCTGCCCCCTCCCTGCCCCCTACATCACACAGACATACTCACCCTCTATCACACAAACATACTCACCCACTCACACACATACTCACCCACCCACCCACCCACCCCCCCCCCACACACACACACACACACACAGTACTCACTCAGTGGATGTCTGCCAACATTCTCAACTTAAGAAAAATATACTAAATAAGTTATCCAGGCCGCAAAATCGAGTTACGCTTTTAACAAGCTCACGGTGGAGAAGAAAGCAAATCTTAATTAATCTTAAGCTGCTCCCACTTTAAAAAATGTGATCCTAGCTTTCCCATTTTAATTGCTATTTTCTTTTCCTCATCCCTATACTTAAAAATGCTTTTTTTCATCTTTTCTAAAGTTAGTACTCGCCCCCCCCCGATCTTGACATAAATGTAACATACTTCACCATGAAAATGATAGTATTACACATTTTTATTCTATATGAACTACCTACCAACCCAACAAATATATCTCGCCATTCTAAATCTTTAATTTCATCTAACTCAAAAAGTTGTATTAAAGCCTGCCATAACCTTTGAACGCTCCCACAAGATAAAAATAAATGTTTGTATGTTTCTATTTCCTGCTTACAAAACGAACATAAATTATCACCAACAAAACCAAATCTATGAAGATGCTCATTAGTGTATATGGCTCCATGCAATAATTTAAATTGAAATTCACGTTGTTTTCTAATGAGTATAGTAATTCTTGGTCTCACAAATATTTCTTTTAATTCTTTATCTATAAAATCATAATCATTTTGCCCATCCCTTACCTGCAAATCATACGTTCGCTGCAGTGCTTTGATGAAATAATCATAGATTGTTCTTGAACCCACATCCACAAACTGTATTTTTTTACTAGAAATATGGAAATAAGTATTAAAGCTTATCAAATCAACCTCGAGGAATTCTATTAACCCTGAATCATCCTTCCATAACCTGGGTATCGCATCATAAATATCAATAATCATAAGCAAATTATTACCTTTCATACCGAGGTTCATAAAATATTTAACAGGCTTAACATGACCTTTCTCAACCAAATGATTCAGTTGAACAATCCCTCTTTCAAACAAGTACCTATCAAATATACTTTTTCCATTTATACATATATTCTGATTATTAAAAATAATTGGATTAATATAACCCTCCAAATATCTTAAATTACTTGTCTCTTGCCATGCTTGCAACATTTCCATATAGTATGGTGGAATATCTAAAACGAGTTTAATCTTGTTTAAATCATAATCACATAAAAAAATAAATCTACCACCCACAAACTGTAAGCAATGATCAAAAAACAATTTCCATCCCAAACTTTTCTCTCCATATAAAAGACGTTTTATCCACATTATGCGCTGTATTTTAACGGACATTTCAAAATTAATCATTCTTAATCCTCCAAAGTCATAATCCTGATACATTATTGCCCGTTTAATTCTATCTTTCCCCCTCCATATGAATTCAAATGAAATTTTTGCAACTTCTTTATATACCCAATGAGGGACAATAACGAGAGATGAAATATAATTTAATTTTGAAAGCGCATAAGTTTTTAGCAAATGTATTTTACCCATAATAGTTAAATCTCTTTGTTTCCACCATACAAGCAATTTTTTTATTTTACTTAGAATTTCTTTATAATTCAAATCATCTTTTAAACTTCGATCTAATGAATAACTAACCCCTAAAATATGTATTTCCTTAACCAAATTTCCAAATAAAGGCCCATCAGGTTTGTTCTCATCCTCACCCATCCACATAAAATGTGTCTTTGTTTTATTCACTTTAAGACCACTAATTTTTTCAAATGATTCAAAAATATATTGCAACCTTCTAACCGAATCAATATCCTTCAAAAATATTGTCATATCATCTGCATATAACACTTGCCTAATTTCAGATTTTCCAAATGTAATCCCTTTAATACCGTTGTCCCTCCTTACTGCATGCGCCAAAATTTCGATGGCAACCAAAAACAAATATGGCGATAATGGATCCCCTTGCCTTACTCCCCTTTCTATTTCAAAATACCCCGTGGAGTGACCACCGTTCATAACACAACTACTTATCCCTTTATACAATAATTTTACCCAAGAGCAAAATGAATCTCCAAAACCGAACAATTTCAATATTTGAAATAAATATCTATGAGATACAGAGTCGAAAGCTTTCTCAAAATCCACTGCACACAAAAACCCTTTCCCTTGTTCCCCATAATGCATAGAATAAAATAACATGTCATCTATCATTCGTACAGCTTCCCCAATATTTCTATCTTTTATATATCCAACTTGATCATGATGAATTATTTCATTTAAAACCTCTTTCATTCTTTTTGCTAGAACTTTAGATACAATTTTATAATCTACATTCAAAAGCGTGATGGGTCGATAATTTTTTATATGGATTGCGTGGCCGTGTGCGTGGCCATGCACACGGCCACGCCACGCACACGGCCACGCAATCGCGCACACCCCCTTACACACACACACACACACACACACACGCGCACACGCACACACACACACACACACACACACATATATATTTATATATATTTTACTAAAGGCGTCATTAGAGGGACATTTGGAGTGAAAAAATGATTCATTAAGTAGACATTGTCATTAGGAGGACAATTTAATGTCCTTTTAACGTTTTTTACGTTTTATTTCTCATATAAGGCCCCATTTTTTCATATATCTCTCTCTATATATGTAATAACCCTACATGTTGTATTGACGGGGCATCTATATATAACCATAAATTGTACATTAACCTGACATCATAAAAACGATATGTTACCCTACCCTAACCCTAAACCCTAAACCCTAATTCTAAAATTCAAAGCAATATAACTAATTAAACTAATGACTAATGAATAAACCTATTGTTTCTTGGGAGGCCTTTAAGTTTCCCCTGCCTGCAAACGTACGTAGAGGGCAGTAATTCTATTGTTCAATCGTTAACATGCCACGTCAATTTCCTGCTAATGACCATGTCTACTTAATAACTCAATTTTTAAACTACATATGTCCTTAGCAGGACATTTTCGTGGCCTGTTAACGATTGAACAATAGAATTACTGCCCTATATGTACGTTTGCAGGCAGAAAAACTGATATGACTCCCAAGACACAAGATGTCATGTTAATACAATATGTTAGGTTATACATATATATATATATATATATATATATATATATATATATATATAAGTAAATATATATATTTATATTTTTTGAGGATCATCTAGAAGAAAACAACACATTTTAAAACACAAAGACATTTAGTGAAATATAGGCTTACTGTCATAAATATCCAGTCACACCAACGCTTCTAATTTTCAGAGAATCATTATCAATGTAGTGTACACAGATATTCAATGTATGTATAATCAAGTATTTGGTATCTATGTCCAATCCATGTTCAATGAAGTGTAGACTACTGCGGCCCCACAATTGCACTTATAATTTGTGATTTAATTAAGAAAATGGATTAATGGTGCACAGTAATCATTTCAAGATGTATTGCAGACAGACAATGGTAATTTCGTATTTTGTTTTTGTTTGTATGAATTTGTTCGGGTTTGTTGGTAGTTCACTCGTTTGGGTTTTCTTTAGCCTGGGGCAGTGTGCATGAATGAAATGTATACCAACAAATGAATAATGTCTATTTCAATATAGCATATACTTCAATCCTTGATAGAATTGTTAAATGTAATGATGATAATATACTTTTATTTAATACATTTATTCAAATACAGGAATAAGTGGTCGCTGGAAAACCCACTTCACCGTGGCACAGAACGAAGCTTTTGATGAATGGTATAAAAACAAGATGACAGACACCGATCTCAAGTTTGCATTTGAGTAACCGAAACTCATTCAAATCTGTTTTGTAGATACCAATGAATCATTTCCTTATTAAAGGAATTAACTCTACTTAATCTGAGGGATTTATTGTATATTTGCCAATTAATATACAAGATTCCCCACCAAAATGTATGAGAGAGGTATAAACCAAGAATGATGCACAGTTTCTCAGCACGACTTGAATCACCGTTTTCTTTATACGTTAGGTTTCCTTTGATTACATAATTCATGCATTGTGTGCAACGGGTTTTAGTGTACTGATGTTTGATAACTCTAGACTTGATTCAGTTTCGACCTCAAAATTGCCTTAGAATTTAGAAATACATTATATTTTTTATCATTCAATGTTAAACTCGTAATAATATATTTGTTTGTAGTATTATGAGTGTATATTTGAACTGCGCCCCCTCCCCCGATAATAAAGTACGTAGAAAAGGAGACTGTAGAGGGATAGAGATAAAAGGGAACACGGAATGTGGGTATTTGGAAGATCACATCACTAAATTTGAAGACTCTACCGTTTTACCTATTTGAGCCACATAGCTAGAGTCCAGTGTCATCTCCCTGCCTCATATGACAGGAATCGCGCTACGTCTCCTTGTTGGTTAGGATGTCCGTTGGTTGTGGTGTGAGTGTGTTTGTGTTTTAGTAAAAAGTCTCACATCTGTCGTTAAAGGAAAATGTTCGATAAATGTTTTATTCAAAAAAATATATAATTGATGTTTCCCTAATGTATGTAATTTATAACAAATATATTTTTGAAATAATCAAACCCGATGTTTACTGAAACACTGGCTAAATCAAAAGGTGATGATAAATGTATCTCGAGGATTTATCATCACGTGCATTGAACAATGCACGTTCTATTTCTCCCCCTTCTCTCTCTCCCTCTATCTCTCGCTCTCTCTCCCTCCAACTCTCTCTCTAACTCTCTCTCTCTCTCACACACATACACACACACACACACACATTCCCCCTCTCTCTAATTCTCGCACTCATTATAAATGTATCTATAAACTCTCTCTCTCTATAACTCCCTCCTCTCTCTCTCTCAGCTAAAATCGATTTAATATTGATTGCTCTGCATTATCAGTCAAAGTTAAATGTATAAAGTATAAGTATTATTGTGCGAACCTACATCTAACAAGCTTTGCTTTAAAGTAGGTTCGTTTTTCCATTTCTTGTAATTAAATCATTTTGCATTACAATGACTATAAAACAATGTCAAAGATATTTCAATGCTCATTTGTGTTATATCAATCATTACGTTTATTGTTTAATATTGTTTATATTATGTGAAAAGAAATTAAAATAAATTTGCTCTGTATAGAGCTACTACTACTACTACTATTAGTCCTACTACTACTACTACTACTACTACTACTACTACTACTACTACTACTAAAGGATGAACCCTTTACATTGAACCATTCAAACAATGAAATACGCCGTAATACACCGTACGCCTTAATAACATTTCTTTTTTTCAAATATCTTTCATTTAAAAAATACTTTTGTGTACATGTTGGTTATCGAACTAGAATAAAACGCTAAGCAGACAATTGTAAACAATAAAGTATGTTTAATGCTCGAATTCATTTAAGTCTGAATTCAGTTCCCCCCCCCCACCCCCTCCCTCCCGCGCGAAGTGCAAGCTTTGAGGTTTCATTAAATTATTATAGAGAAAGAAGACGATTCGTCATGTAATACTTGTCTGAATTTCAAAATGTTCTTTATCTGCTCCTTTTTTCCTTAGGTCCTCTTCCTTTTTTCTCCTCTTTTTTTTGTTTTTTTTTTCTTTTTTGGCCGGCGTTCTGGGGGAACCGCCACCACCGCCCCCGGAAGCTCAGGGGTTTTAGGCTTTTGATTACCGTCAGATGAACATACTTGTATACCTTATTTATTTTGTGACAATGGCAGGACACTAATTAGGGTGAGGTCCAGCGGGCGGAGCTCCCAGAAGTTCAGGGGTTTTAGGCATTAAATTACCGTCAGATTAGCATCCAGGGGTCCGCCTCAGGGCCCTAAGCGGGGTCCAAGGGGCAAAGCACCGGAAGTACAGGGGTTTTAGGCATTTAATTACGGTCAGATGAGCATTTTTTGATACCTTATTATTTTGTGACAATGGCAGGACACTATAATTATAGCGTGGGGTCCAGAGGGCGGATCCCCCAGAAATCAAGGGTTTTAGGCATTAAATTACTGTCAGATGAGCATCTAAGGGCCCGCCTTAGGGCCCTAGGCGGAATCCAGAGGGCAGAGCCCCTGTAAGCTGAGGGGTTTTGGGCATTTAATCACGGTCATATGAGCATATTTTGATTCCTCATTATTTTGTGACACTGGCAGTTAACTATTCTTTCCTTTTTGCTCTCTTTCTTTCTATTTCTCTTTAATATACTTATTCAAAAAAAGTTTGGGAGGGGGGGGGGGCTCGAGTTTTCTGATCCCCGCCGTTTCTCGGGTCCTGACATGAAGGCAACTCAACAAAACATTTTTCTTGCCTGAGTGCAAATTTAGGAATTTGTCATTTTCCAAAAAACGCATGAAAAAGTAAAATTTACTAAAAAGTGTGGAAAAATCTCGGAAACTATGTCATTTCAGCATTATTTGTAAATCACCGTTATGGAATCAACCATAAACCACGTTTGAATGTTATTTTCTCCAAGTCCCCCTCCCCTATCAGTACGCCAGTGCCCCCTCACCCCGATCCCCACGTTGTTGGCGGGATTAACCGCAACTGATCTCCCCTTCTTTTCACCCTTTTTTTTTGTTCCCTTTCGCTCTCCTCTTCCCTTTTTCCTCCCTTCTCTCTTTTTTTTAGTGGGGGGTTGGGGAGGCAAGGGCCCTTTGCCCCCCCCCCCCCAGATTCATAAATTGTTGGCGGGAAAATTGCAACTGATATCCCCCTTATTTTCTTTTCTTCTTCCTCTATTTTCCTTCCCTTTATCTGCTCTTTTTTTTAAATTTCCCTTTCATTCCTTCTCTCTTATTTTTGTTATGGGGGGGGGGGGGGAGGGTGGGGGCGGGGAGGCAACAGCCTGCGACGCAAAGCCCTTTCGCGCTCCGGTTTCCTTCTTCCTCCTTTTCTTTTCTTCTTCCTCCTCTTTCTTTCCCTTTCTCTCCTTTTCCCCTTTCCCTTCTTTTCCTTCTCTCTCTATTTTTTTTTGCGGGGGGGGGGGGGCAAGGCCCGCTCGACCCCCTGGATCCGCGCCTGAGAGAAAGAGAGAGAGAGAGAGGGGGTTGAGCTTTTATTGGATCATCACAGAGTGCACAGACCCATGCAAGGAACCATCTCTATTGAATTCACCATAATACCTTCATTGTTACTACTATTATTGTTTGCTAGTGTAATGTTTATTGAAATGTAATAAATATGTTGACTTTTAGTTTTATATCGAACTGTTTATTATATTTTGTCTAGAATCATGTTGGCATTTTGTTTTTATCTTAAAACGCTTCCATGTACCATAAAAGGTGCTCAAGGCGTTCCAATATTTGGCCGCATGCATTAAAAGTAGCAATGTTTTCAATTACATAAACAAGCAGTTGCTGTCAAGCAAAATATCAAGCCCAAGCAATCGCTTGAATCTGTATCAGTGCATAACATTTTGCTTGTGCTCAAAGCTTTTGCTTGCCTTTCTTAACGTACAATTTTGTAAGGTTTCAACAATATTTACTTATGGCATTGTTACACCGGCCCACCTGACTCATACTTGATTGCAGAGAGAAGATGTAGAAAAAATGCCTTGCTAAAAGACATACGTGACAAGACAGGGCTAGGCATGTTTGTATACCCAGGGGAGTCTTGTCAGCATTAACACTGTTCTTCCTGAGGGCCCTACCCCAAGTGCAATATATAATCTTAACTTTACCCTGGATTAAGCCTGCTTACCATAATGTGCTCTGGAAGGAATTCAATGAAGGATTTACTTGACATAGGAAAGTATAAATCAATGCCGTGGCAGGAATTCGAACCCCGAATCATATAATCCCTTGTCCGTTGCCTTGTCGACAAGTCTAAGAAAAAAGACTAATATAAGACCAGTATTGGAAACGCCCCAAATTCCACAAAATGAAACGGAAGCTCTTATTACCAATCATGTGAAAGAATATGTTTTGACTAATACATGATGATACAAATTTTGCCGGGAAACCGCCTACTAATTGATATATTTGGTAAATTAGTTTATCTACATGGTCTGTGAGAGATAAACGCACGTGTCGCGCACGTGTGCGTATAGTCCCTTATACATCTTTCTGTGTACAGTGCTTGTAACTTGACGAAGACTGGGCCATATTTCTTATCATTTTGATGATTCCAGAGCCTTGCAGTACACACTAATACTTATGTGCTAGATGATCAACCTTTTCTGATCGATTCCATAACGTTTCTTTCACAATGCAATCGCATGACCATAACTGGTCTTTACCTTTAAGAGCTACTGTAATTAAACCATGGATAGTAGGTCCATGATTAAACGTACTCTTCCTTTTCCATTTAGTATTTCACGAATAAAGATATTAACTCGATATAAATGGCCGGGTTTCCCTGACCTTCCGTATTATTCTTGAGACCAATTAGACAACGGACGAGCTTGATCGAAGAAAGAGAGTGGAAAGAGCGTTCCGACTGAAGATGATAATTGAAATAAAAGTCGTTGTTCAAGGAAACAAACTAATGAAATCACAAGCTCCTTTGCAGTCATATTTTGATGGCAATGGGTAGTGCCCCTAATACTGAGACTTTTTTGCAGAGTGATGTTTTACCTACGTGAAATTCACCATTATTGTTCGCGATAATTGGTAATTCGACCCATTTATCAATTTGTAATTAATTTTCATTTATTCATTTTTGTATTTATGGGGTAGCCCATTTAACATCAGTTAGTCTCAAATGGGGCAAAAAGAAGGTATAACAATGTATTTTCTATGTGTAACAAAGCAAAGAAGTAAAAAAAAAAAATCACTTTACTCTTTGTTGGGCATAGTATGGCATAGGCCTACCGGGGGGAGAGACCTGAGGGAAACAGGGATTCAGTACTCTTTCGCCTCCCAGGCACAGGTAAATGCCAAATACTAAATGGTAATAATAACAATAATAAATTCTAGATCGTTTCTTTCTTCCATCTCTCCTTTTAATTACTGATTAAAGAAATATTTATCATTGCAAAACAGAAAACTACAACAAAACAAAGACGAGAGGTCAATATTGATCACAGTGAGATCGAGACACTGCTGAAAGACGTTAAATCCTCAACGTGTATCATCCGTCAACATCAAGAGTTCAAACCCTTTTCAATGACAAAAAATGATACAAGTAACTATTGTCTTCGCATGCGTATTTTCCATTAACTTTTCACACAATTTTGGAATGAGCGATACGCCATGATGATGCATCTTTATCTATTCCCCCTTTCATTTATGGTATCAAGAGTACGTCACTGAACTGAGCACGTATTTGTAAAAACATACTGACCAATTTCTATATAGGTCAAGAAAACAGCTTAAGAGCGAGAGTTGTAAGCGCGTGCGGACTGAGGATAATGATAATTGAAAAGTGTTTTTATTCAAGATAAAAGGGCAGATAGAATAACTCACTTTCCAGCTATCTTCATGGAAAGATTAATATTGTCTATTCAAACCAACATACAATTCCAGGAGAGATAAAAACACGGTAAGAATGGCTTTTATGTTTTAATTCCCTTTTTGAAGAGATATCCAGTCAAGCTTTAACCTTGTATAGACCTTCAATAACATATCATCATATCGACTAGCTTGATAACAAAACAAAAATTAAAAGGAAAGGTCTTTCAAAGACCATGTTCTGAAATAGTTGTTTTGTAGATTCACTCCGTAAAGGTGATGATACCAACAAAAAAAAGGTCAAATGTGTAAGGACTCATAATATTAAATATATTGATTTTAATTATTAATTTTGAAAAGAAAAAGCATTTTTAAAGATTTGTATTAACATCTGCAATAGCATAGTTAAATTTGATCTTTACTTGCCAGGGCTGAAGAGCAAAATTCTTCGACGGCAACAAATTTTCAATTTTAACAACATATGTCCTTATGTCTACAAATATGCGATCAATTATTTTGGCTTTTGATTTTGTTTCATGACAGCATTCATTGGTACAAAATAGTTGCTTGATATACAATTTTTCTGCATGGAGCGGTTATTAAAGATAAACTCCAGTTCTGGTAAAAAAAAAGAAAATTAATTCTCACAGAATCAA